TTTGTCATTTTGAGGCCTATTTATATAGCTCTTTTCTTATGTAATAGCTAGTTTTGAATGAATGAAAATTTGCCTCTTATGATTCTCTTTGTGAGTTCATGAAGCCTCTAAAGATCTCTTTGTGAGTTCTTGAAGAGGAGATCGCCGGAGATCTCTTTGTGAGTTCTACCGGTGGAGTGGTGATCAAGGTTATTCATTTGAATTTTCTTTATTTCTTTTCTCTCCAAACCTTTCTTCCTCCACCTAGCCGAAACATCCCTCTTTTCTCACTTCCCCACCACCACCCAAGCGCCACCGCCGGCCTCCCTTGGCCTGCCCAGCCACCGGCGGCCTTCCCTGCAACCCAGCAGCCGGCCATCCCTCCCTCCCGCTCCCACCGCCGCTCCACTTCAGCCACCCGCCCACTTGTTTTCAAAATTTGAAATCCCAGGCTAAGGATTTAATTGATTTCCTATTTTACATCCTCTGAAATTGAACCTGTTATATTTTCTCTCATTTAATGTGGGTTTGCCAACGCCTAGCAATCAAAGCATTTTAGGAAATTTCTGTAACGTAAACCTGAGAATCAATTCTCAGGTTTTTTTTAATATCCCGTGAGCTCCACCTCCATTTAATTCCTTCCCAAATTAAATTCCTGTAACAGTTTTATTAATTTTGAAATTCCCTATTTTGCCATCACCTCTTAATTCTTACCAAAATTCAGCCTTTAATGTTGAAAGACAAATTCTGTCCCGTATTCCCCTGCTGGCTGAAAATTTTTTACTCCGTTACATTGGTTTTTCTATGCTAAACCCTTCCCAAACTCCTCCCACATGGAGTCTGCTGTTTTCTAAGATTGCTGTTAAGGAATTCCAACCCTTGCTCTCAAGTCTACACAATCCTTTCAATTTTCCCTTGCTCCTAAGCCATTCCTCTCAGGTTTTGAATAAGGAACCTGAAGGAAATTTTCCCAATTCTTTTGTGCATCTTCCCGCCCGACAAGAATGTATGGCGGATCCGGAATTTGAATGGGGGCTTGTGTTCGACGCCCACGGCAATATCAACGCCCTACGATCAACATTCTTCGACGCGGGATTTGACCACGACGACGACACTATTGAAGATTACATCGACTGTATTCATTACACATTAGTTGATGTGATCGACGAGCAAAGATTAAAGGGACGTTGGATCATCCTCGGACGACCGCCATCCTCCACCACTCCGGCCACCTATTCAAGAACGACGATCTTATGCTCCTTCTTCCTCGGAGTGAACTCGGTTCTAATGTGGAGATTCTTCTTCCGCTAAAGCCTAGACTAGTTGAGCGTATGGGCTCCAAAGGTGAAAGCTCTTATTATTAAATTGTGGATTCTTGTTTATCGTCGTAGTTTTACAATTGATCTTTACATTTTCTTAAATTATTTGGTTAACCGACTTCAATCTTCGTTGCCTAAGCAAGTTAAAAACTAAGAATTCTAAGGATCAAACCTTTGTTATAAGCAATAAATTTATTTCGAATTAGTTTGTTAAAATTGCTCTCTTTAATTTCTTAAAGTAACTCCATCGCATGTACGTTTCACATCAGTTTGAGTTCTTTGAAGATAATGATTTTCAATATGAAGATGGAAAGTTGAGAGAATTTGTTTTGAATATTTAGAGAGAAGATGGGGTTGAGGAATTGTAAATTTTGCACGTAGATTATGGAATGTAAACATAAAGGGAAGTTTGTTTCTATTTTTAGTGATAAAAATAGATTAAGAGTTATAGAGGATGATTTACCACCCAAATGCAAGAGAAAATCGAGATGTAATTGTTGCAAGTAAATTGATCACAAGAGGTGAAAATATATTACTGACATCGAATATATTTACTAACAGTAGTGATGATTCTGAGAAATCAAGTCAAACATAACCCCATATGTGCTCCGATCATCGCATTTGATTCCTAAATCCAACGGTCTGTGAATGTTGCGGGGATCAAATAATCAAGTTTTATCCTTCTCCTTAAAAGTATTGGACTTGACCTGACTTGAATTATAAGATGCCAAGTTCTACAAAATATTGATATTTTTCAAATGACAATCATGTTACCTCGATGATGACCGTGTTGAATGTAATCTCAATCGGAGGGGAATAGTCTTTCAAAAATACAAACTCCAATGCAAAATACATAAATTTAAAGTGACTTTAACATCACCCTGATGATAGCCGTGTTGACAGGAAATCTCAACTGAAGGGAAATATGCCTTTCAAAATACTTAAACTCCAAAGCAAAATACATAAATTTAAAGCGACTTTAATGTCACCCCGATGATGGTTATGTTGATAGGAAATCTAAACCGGAGGGGAATATGTCTTTCAAACATACTTAAACTCCAATGCAAAATACATAAATTGAAAGTGATTTAACCTCACCCTGATGATGACCGTATTGACAGGAAATCTCAACTGGAGGGAATATTTCTTTCAAAAATACATAAACTCCAATACAAAATACATAAATTTAAAGTGATTTTCTAATGATAGCCGCATGGAAAGTGAATCTCAATTGAAGGGGTCATTATTCAAATCCTATTAAATTTTCAAAATCTAATATCTGTTAAATTCTAAACGTTTAAATACAAATTTTATCATCTAAAAATTTCAAACTAAAACACATTAACCTCCCATAATCATTTGTCGGGGGTGATAAATTTGAAATTAGCCTCAGCTCAAAGAGAGTGAATGTTATGTTGGGTATATCACTAAGATTCATCCTCAAATAGTCTCTTGAGCCAGTATAGACGTGACATGTGCCCTTCGATTGAATGATTTTGCCGCAAAAATGACAACTCTATATTACAATCACGGTCAAAACTTGTATGTTCCCTAACTGTTTCAAACCCTTGAGCAATGAATCCTAAGGTATACTCGATAGGCATAAAGCCCTTTTTGTCATCTACGACAGATTCAAATTTATCCCCTTAGACAAACGCCACCTTAGGTCTATATGGTATCTTTGGACAAAGCAACACATGGCTGTCAACAAGGTTCCTTCTATCAGGTTGGGTCGACTACCTCCTTTAACTAGGTAGAACAGGGACCATGACAACCTGGGACGACAGAACTATGGTATCTTTATCAAGCTCGTCTTCATTCCCCCCATCACATGTTTTAAATATAAGATGATAAATTTCAAATCTTAAAAATCTCCAAAAACTTCAAAATTAAATCATTAAAGTTGTTGCTATTATATGCTAGGTATTCAGTGCTTATCTCACGACTAGCCTTAATTGAAAGTTCTCTCTCGACATCGAGAGTGGTAATTAACTATAGGGGCTTTCGCATATAGGAAACCAGAACTCATATCATAAAGTCCTCACTAAATGAGGACGAAATCTTTGGGTAGTGTCTTATCTAAAACCCAATCTGCATTTTGAAAATTTACCCGAACTTAAATATGTTAAAACTCTCTCCGTCAAACAAAAGAAAGGGTCGCGGAGAGGCCGGGGCGTGAATATTCGGAGCCCTCAATATATAGTTTGTAAGAGAGATTTTAGACCTTTAAATTATAATTTAGGTAAAATTGAAATTTAATTCTAAATGGCTCCTGACCCAATAATAAAGGATAGAGATACATAAAAAATCTTGGCTTCGAAGTTTCTAGGTGCAGGTGCATAAAAGGAAAATAGGTGAGTATAACATGTTATGTGATTTGATGCTTTTGAGTCAATAACCTAGGACTTTTTTGTCTTTCTTAGTATAATTAAGAGCAAAAATTTTTTTGGGAGAGTAATTAGGAAGTTTCAATTGCTGTTTGTTTAAGAAAATATAGTAAAAGGTTTTCACTGCTTTTCATATTTTGTCAATCACTTTTAGTTTGATAAGCGTTTCTCTTTGTGTGATTTTTATGGTTGTTCTAAAATTTTGGTTTGTGGAGAAGATTCTAATTTTTCTCATTTGATTAATTTTTTTTTAAACATCGCATCGAAGATTACCTCTCTTTTTACACTTTAGGTCATGTCCTAGGTTTGACTCCATATTTTTTATGGCAAGAGCAAATTCTATAGTTATGTCAATAATTTTGGGCCTTTTGATGGCAAGAGTAAATTCTTTAGTTATAACATTATTTTTGGAACCTCCAAGCATATTTTGAATCTTTCTTCCCTACATACTTCAACTAATGCTTCTTTAACTTTGGGAAATGGATGAATCCCTAGGATTCTTTTGTCTTCTCTTCCTGTTTTTTGTTGAGACGTGAAAGAAAATCATATCTTAACTTTCCCACAAGTTTGATGTATATTCCTGCTTTCCCTACATCAATCATATTTAGTTCTTGCCAAATTTTTATGGGAGTGATTTGTGACACTCTTACTCGAGGTCACAGTCTTGATAACGTAATTTCAACAATTGAGGTAAATTTTAAAATATGAATAAACCATGTTGACTTTCTCCAGATTGCTTGTGTAGTGTTGTAAATCAAGTACAATTACCCAATGTGTTCTTCCATGAAATTGATAAGCCAAAATATTATCATGACATTATTGGCGTCTTATAATGGAAAGCATTGGTCGATCATTTCAGGTTGATTGATGTTATTATTTTAATACCCAATTTTTCCTATTCCTCAGAGCACGATTTGATGTCCTTCCTTCAATTGCCACAAGTCTACTGAAGAAAGGGAAATATTTCTTTCCCATTTCAGGAAACTAATTTCTGTGAATTATCCCAACACATTCATAAAGGTTTCTTTATGCTTTCTTTTATGCGGATCAAAGTGAATTAGCATATGTACCATTTGTTTAGGCATCATTACCATCATCAGCCTTATGGCTGCTTCATTGTGCTTAAGCTTTTTGGGAGATAATTTTCTCCCAGTTCTATCCACCTTTGCAAATACTGAAGACTTTTTTTTTTGGATTTTAGGAAGCTCTGATATATCAGAATCATTAAATGAACAGCTTTCTGCAATTCCTATTAATTTCATTTCTTGCAATGTGTAATTGCTACATGATGCAAATATTGTGCTCATTGATGCAGGCTGCACTTTTTAACCGTACTGAAATAGCTTTCATTCTTATGGATCATGGAGCAAGTGTGGAGAGGAAGAATGCACAAGGTGGCTTCCCCATACCCTTCTGCACAACTTTTTCCTTTTCTTTTAACGTCTGCGTACTCTAGTTTTATATAAGGCGTTCCTGCATGCTTTTCTTGATTCTCTGTTGTTACGTGTTTTACTAACAGAAATAGCCTACCATGCTTAGCATTTTCTTTTATTATACTCATGGGCGGACCCACCTTAAGGCCAGGAGGGGCAATTGTCCCCCCCTGAAAAAAATAAAAAAAATTCTTTATTATATGATTTTTTAAGTAATTTATCCACCTCCATATATTTTTTAGTCTTTATTATAAAGATTTTTTGGTAATTGCCCCCCCTAAAAGTTTCAAAATACTATGGTCTTTAGGTAACTATCCCAACATAATTAAACACATTGTGTAGAGATGTTATTGTTAGGGAACAGTGAACCAAATATAAAGAGAAATAGTAAATAGAATCCAAAAATATACTTACAATCAAAATTTGTTCCGAGGGCGATGCCTCCTTGGACTCCTGACATATATGTGAATCGTACAATGATGAACAAATAGGGGTCGAGAGGCATCGCCCTCATAACAAATTTTAGTTGTAAGGATATTTATGATAAAAAAAAATTCTGCACTTTTACTTATAAGTTTGCCCTCCTAAAAATTAAGGTTGGATCTGCCCCTGATTATATTTCATCTAATTGTGTGTATCTTAGCTTGAACGTTTACTTAGCTGCACTTGCATGAGAAAGAGATAGTCAGATGTGGGGATCTCTAGAGAGAGAAAGAGAGTGACGAATACCATTTTGGTCTAATTAAATTGTGATGTTAAATTATATTAAAGAGATGCTGGGAGTAGCAATTGTTGATGCTAAGGTAGTATAAAATAGACTTAGCTGGTTTTTTCATGATTAGTCCTAAGATTGTGGTTAGAAAGTGCATATTTAACACTAATGATAATAAATGTATAATGAGGATTCAAAAGCCTATGCTAAAACTGCACTGTTCCAGATTAGTATTGCTCACCTAAATAGGATCCTGTACTGCTTTGAAGTGAGTGTAATATAAATTTTATTGTTTACTCATATACTGCACTCTTCTCATAATTAATCTAATGACTAAGGCTTCGTTTGGGACGGCTTTTTTACTGCTTCTTAAAGCAGCTTTCGAGTACAAAAATTTTAACATTTGTACTAAAAAACTGTTTTAAAAAACAATAATAAAGTCGTCTCAAACAAAGCCTAGGATCCCTCCTAACTAAATTCTGATCAGGATATCTAACTGATTTTTTTGTCCTTTTTATGGCAAATTTTTAATTCATCATTATGATTTCTATAGAATTAATGGATGTGCAACCCTTACTGATCTTGTTAATTTCTAATTAGGCGAAACTCCTCTTGATTGTGCTCCTACCATGCTACAATATAAGATGCGCCAGAAGCTGATGGAAGGTATGGCAGATCAATAGACGGTAATCAATCACATAATAAACTAAATTTTTTAATCAATCCAAGCTCATCTCTTCATGGTTCAGAAAGACTCTTATTGAGGTTCAAGTTGTTCATGTTTCATATAAAAATGGTCTAAATGAATCGATATAACTGGAGCAGCTAATATTCAAGCATTTCTACGTTATAAGAACTTTGATTTTGCTGTATATTCGATATATATATTTTATGATGCATAGTTGAAATAGTTTCTACTGAGAGCTATTATGAACTATTAAGCGCTGCCCTTTTCCCATCTTGATGTCCTCAATGTTGGTATTTGGACTACTGAGATGGTCAATTTGATATTGAGAGATCAAATTCAGAGAAGATTGATGGATCAAATGATGATATGGCACTATTTTAATATGGAAATGTTCTTTTTTTTAGAACAATTTTATGTCACCAACACATCATAAATCAAAAACTCTTGCGTGGTTTCGCGTTTGAGTCGCTCAACCTGTCCAAAAAAAATCCGTATTTGTCCAATATTTGTCGTATTTTTCGTCTTCTAATACTTAGTCACTTGACATCCACAATTATCCATTGTCATTCTCAAATACCCATAACAACTTGACATCCACTGTCATCTAAAGCTCACTTTCTTTATTTAAAAATTATTCATAATCCTATCATACAGTGAGGTTCACTATAGGACACAAATGTAATAAATATTTATTACAAATATATTTTAAAATTTAATGTTTATCTTTAAATAATTATAAATATCTTTTTTTAAATATGAATTATAGATCATGGATAAATTAACAATTATAATATATAAACTTTTAAATATCATATATTAGGATTTAAATACATAAAAATATTTCATAGTGCCCTTCAAAAATTTTTTAATAACAAAAAGTATTTATTAATGAATCTTTATATATGCAGAAAATTTATAAGATTATCTAAAACTTTTTCCTTTGCTTTTCTAATCAATGGACAAAGAAAGAATGAGCTGTCATTGAAGAGCTGTTCTCTTGAACCAAATATCATTTCCAAATGGCAGGCCATTTTTAAGATAATGATTTAAATTTTAATTTTCTTAATTTGAGATTGGGTAGAGTTATAATTTTGAAGAATGTTAGGAGTATTTTCTTTGTTTGCAAATTAATTATAAAATTAATTTTAGGCAGAAAAATTATATTAGCTGTATTCTCTTATGCTTGTTCTTATCTATAACTTTTTATTTTTTATTTTTTTTTATCTTGCTTATTTTGCTCCGATAACTGACGGGTAAGTTAAGTCGGCTCATGAGTTTGCTCGTGCTTGGCTTGATAAATAGGTTGTGAGCTGAGCTTAATGAGCCAAGCTAGAACTAGCATAGACCGGATTCGTTAGCTTGAGCGAGTTTGCTCGTTTTAAAAATTATTGATGTAAGTAGATTTAAAATATATTAAATTTCTAGAGTTTAAGTATAAATCCATTAAAAATACTTTAAAATAATATCTTTCTTATATCATGTGATTTTTTTTTTATTTTTTTTTTATAATATCTCATTTTTCTACAATTTATTATAATAATTACTTGAATCATAATCATTTTTCTACTTTTTTAATAAATAAGTCAGCTTTGTGAGCTCAAGATCGAGCTTGAACTTATTAATTAATCAAGCTCAAGCTTAAATTAAGAGTAATGCGAGCCCGATTCGACTCATTTAAATTCTTATCGTTTAAGTCACCAATAACAACAAAATAGCCAATCAATTTTTAAGTAATTAATAATTCAATGACACATCAAAATGGTGAATTACAAGATAACTATTGAAAAGTTATTATGTTTTATTAAAAAAAAAATACATGAAGTTTGTTCTTTAAAAAGACTAATAATGTGCCAGCTTAATACACATTTTTATTAAAAAATTATTATACACAATTGTAACTCTTTTTTTTTCTAAAAAAGACAAAAAAATTCTAACAGATAGTTTTTTGAAATTAAAAAAGTCTTAACAATTTGTCAACTTATTCTCAATATTAAAAAAAAAAAACACGTTTAGTTATTATGGGCTATATTCTATAATTTAAATTTTTTTATTTATATATTTAAGAGTTTTTCTATTAAGTATTTTAATTAGTAATCAATGACGGTTTGACTTATTTTACTTAGAATATGTAATTATTGTATGATGGAAAAATCACATAGAAATTATTTAACGTCTTAGTGTTGTATAAAAATTACATACATAGCGATAAAAAGAGTTATATAAAAAATCATATGAATTGATCAAGTTTTAATGATTCAACCAGTATTTGCCATTAATTACAAATGATATCATTCTTTATAATTGAGAAGTACATTTATGCAATGTGGCAAACACTAATTGCAGATGTTTTCGTAATAGAAGTTGTAAGCGTCTTGTGACATCAATTAAACTTGAGAGATTGCATGTGGCGTGTTTAGTCGTTCTTCTATTAGAATGGAAGACCACAGACCAATAAATTCATCATATAAACTTGGCGTTGACATATAAACTTAGAATTGGTGTTGATAGCATGCATCAATCTTATACGTGATGACATATATTGATATAATTAACGATAGTAGATGATAAAGTCAGTAAGCAATTATATTTGTGTTGATGGCGTGCATCAACCTTATGAATGATGACACACATTGATGTTTGTGACAACATCAAACAACAAAGTTGGCAAGCAACAACTTTGGTGTCGACTGTGGGCATCGATCTTACAGATGACGATGTGCATCAACATTGACTACTATGGCCATTGAAAAAAAAAAAAAAACGGTGTGCCTCGGAGTATAACATTACCGAGTAACAATGGTCAACAATTATTGTTAGATAACAATGGTAGGGAGGCTTTAGCTAGATGATAGGGGTCAAATGATTGCAGTTGGGTGATAGTGGTCAAAGGATCATGATTGAGAGACACTAGCTAGATGACCATAATCAGATGATAGCGATCAAATGACTATAGTTTTATGACAATGTTGGAGGAGCAATAGGTGGTCAATGGTGGTTGCATGTCATAATATTGTTTGAATTAAATGATTTGATTATGAGAATACATTATTTAGAGATAATTTGATCTTTATATTGATATCCCAAAAAATTTAACCATACCTCAAGCAATTAGCTTTGGTTCATTTGGAGTCGGATTATATCATTTTAAGTGTAGATGAGTTCGTCATATTGAGAAATTTATTTTCTCTAAGTTTAAATGGTCATCAATTTAATTCTCTAAGTTTTTAATTTAACTATGCATCAAAATTTATACTTGACCAGTGAATTTTATGATGAAGTATCAATAATACTATTTGATCAAATTTTGGTTTTTAAGTCATTTTATTTATTTTCAAATGAATATAATGATTTTGAGACCCATCAATATAAAAATAAAATAAAATTTATTTTTTTTATTATCTATATTGCGGAACTTTTTTCAAAAATTTTTTTTTTTTCTATACTAGAAAAAATTTTGAGACCAATTTTGAATATGATAGGTCTCAAAATTTTTAAACCTGCTTTGAAATAATAAAATATAAAGGAATAAATTGTGATAAAATACTCTAATATAAGTTATATTATGATGAACTGAAAAAACAGATTGGATTATTTTGAGATTGTGTAATTTAAATTCCTCATATATAAGTGATACATCATCATGAAAAAATCTTGATCGGGCACGAATCTCGAGGAAAAACAGACCCGAAAACTTCAAAAATTAAATCTGGAAGCACCCGAGCTCCGATTTCAGCGGGCTTACAGTCAAACTGAGCGTCTCGGAAATACGAACCCAATGACACCAAATTCAACCCAATCCGAGCCCAAATGGGTCCAAATCAAGGACCCGAAGCACTGTTGGAAGGTTCAAACCACAATTTGAGTTACCAAATGGTCTCCGATTTTAACGAGCTTATACTCGAATCGAACGGCTCAACGATCCCAAGATAGCCAAATTCTGACATTACTAAGGCCTTCAAATGTCCAACGAATGGTGCACAATCGAAGGATTCAATATTGGTCGTCCATTCGACCACTCCCTATTCGTCCATGATCTCATACCTATTATTTATTGTCGCTTACAAATGAGGTCCTTCATTGGGGGAAGGCCTTGACTTGATGTAACAAATATACATCATATAAAATGCATTATATGATAAGACTTGAAAGAATTACTATTGATATGTTTGTTTAGTTAATAGAACCATAGTCGGCGGGCAACGAAGGTCGGAAAGACTGTAGTCTGGTGACGATGGTTGGAGGGACTGTTGTCGGCGGGCGACAGTGGTCAGAAAAGACCGTTGTCTGGCGACGGAGGTCTGAAGGATCGCAATCTAGTTATTGAGGTTGGAAGGACCGTAAACAGTGGGCGATATTGGTCAGGAAGACCACTGTCTTGCGACGGATTTCGAAAGGACTATAGTCGGCGGGCGATAGTGGCCAGAAAGATCATTATCTGACGACGGAGGTTGGAAAGATCGTAGTCGGCAGACGATAGTGGTAATAAATAATGTTGTCTAGTGAAGGAGGTTGGATGGACTATACTCGGCTGGCGACGGAGGTCGAAGTCCGACGATGGGCGGAAGTTTGGATTCAGCAGAAGTTCAATGATGGGTGGAAGTTGGATGTTAGATAGAAGTCTGATGGAAGTCCAACGACGGGCAGAAGTCTGACGATGGGTGGAAGTCTTGCGTCGGGTAGAAATTCGGCGATGGGCGGAAGTCCGACGTTGGGTAGAAGTACAACAAAAGTCCAGCTTCGGGTAGAGATCCGGTGATGGGCGAAAGTTTGACGTCGGTCGGTGGCCGGGAGATGGTTGAGAGGAGCTTGGTGGCTTCCTCTCCTCTCTTTTTTCTCTCCTTGCTCTGGGCCCATTTACATGATGAATGAGGGGTTTATTTATAATTTTCTTAAAGTGACATGACAATTAAATAGAAGGGAATAGGTCAAGTTGGGAGTGATTTGAATAAACGATCGATATTGATTCTCTTTGATCATAAATCGTTTATCAAGTATTTGAGTGCCTAATGATATGAGAATTCAATGATCTTGAGCTCACTAGATTCGTCTTGTCGAGCCGCTCAATTCAACTGTAAGCATGTCAAGTTGGAAACCGTTTGGTCATCCAATTTATGGTTTGAACCTTCCAAATGAATGTCGGGTCTTCGATTTGAACCCATTTGGGCTCAGATTGGGTCGAATTTTGTGGCGTTGGGTTCGTATGTTCGAGATGTTTAGTTCGACTATAAATTTGCTGGAATCAGAGTTCATATAGCTCTGAATTTAATTTCTGATGTTTCCAACTTAATTTTCCTTGAGATTTGTGCCCGATGAATATAATTAATTAATGATACAATAAAATGGCGTCAACATAACCATGTGAATTATTGCATTTACTTTAAAATTAGTATACTTTAATTTTTAAATAGAACATTAATTATAAAATAAATTCAATCATTCTCATATGGCTTATGCTAGAATATATATATATATATACTTTTACACGTCTGATCTTCCAATGAATCCAAACAAAAATTTCCTTTTTTTATCTATAAAAAGTCTCGTCCTGCCCAGACTGAGTAGCCAAGAATTTGTGATCACCATGGCAACGCTGACGGAGCTCAACAACAGCGACCCATCCGTTACTCTTTCCAACATTTTTCCGATCAAAATCGTGTTGCCGGGCGTCGCCGTCCTCTCCATCCTTTTCCTCATCGTCCTCATGATCTACTTCCGCGTCAAGAATCAAAGCGATCCCATTTCCTCCTCCCGCGTCGCCCTCGACACCGCCATCCTCAACGCCCTCCCTATCACCGTCTTCAGCTCCACCGAGTCAGAGTGCGCCATCTGCCTCGCCGACCTCGCCGACGGAGAGCTCGGCCGCCTTCTTCCTCAATGCAACCACGGATTTCACCAAAGCTGCATCGACAAATGGTTTCTCGTCAATTCCACCTGTCCCACCTGCCGGAGCCCCGTTGATCCTCCGCAAAAGCTTCCGGCGTCCTATTACGGTACCAAGTCGGTGACTTTAGTTATGGAAGCGGAGAATACGGATATAAAAGAGGGAACTTTGCAGCCGAAGGCAAGCTCGACAACGGCGGAGGTGGAAATCTCTGCTTCGGAACATAGAACAGAAGAGATAAGGTCGCCGGCTATGGGGAGTTTGGGATGGCTGAGAAGGATGGTGAGCTCTGCCTGTAGCTCAAGAGTATGGGATGTCGAGCAGGGGCAAGGTGGTGTTGCTGGCGGAAGGAATTGAGAGTGATTTTCGTTAAATTACTTGCAAATGAGAAAGAATCGTGCTAGTGATCGAGATTTGCTTGTTTAGTGGTTAATTCTGGGTTTAATAATTGTAATAGAAAGAAAGTCCAATATGTAATTCATCTCGGGGACTATTATCCATCAAAATAATCAAATGAACAAATTTCTTTTCCTGTGATATGCTCTTCTCTCTCCTGCTCAATTCCTTCTTAATTTTTTAGTCTTTGATGAACAAGAACATGTCGTCTGTCCTCGACATTTTGGGATCCTTATAATTGGTGCTCACGCGAAGATCTCTCGTCAGTTGCGGCCTCTAAGGACATCTCCAACCCAAACTCTTATTTATACTGCAAAATGCAGTCAAATCAAAAAGTGCCGTGATTCATCTTCATTGGAACGTCATTTTGGCCCGAAATCATCATTGTTTCTTTCGCGCCTTTCTCAGACTGAGTTCGGTAGAGAGAAAGAAATGATGAAAGTGAACAGTGAGATTGTTCATCAGTGACTGAATGGCGACAAAAATGGAGTTCGATTGCGACGACTGAGGCTCTCCATTCTCCTGTTTGCCAAACGGCTGGAGAAGCTCTAATCCATTCCGGATACTACATTTCCTTCACGAGCTCTGTCTCCCTTAGCCGTTAACATCTCATCTTCACTGAACCTTCTTCATCGTCACAGATCCCGATGCTTCGTGCCAATGGATCCTTGCCTCGATCTAGAGCTCAGAATTGTCGATTTCGCGTGTTCTATCCACATCCAACAGTACATCATCCAAATCCCTTCAACAATCCTTCCAGGCCTATTTGTTTTATTGATCAAAATTGGATCTTTCTCTGTTCCATCTTAGGCTAAAGCTGATGCTTTTCGCCAATTCCATCTCTTTCGGTCATCTTCTTACGATATCCCATATGTGGCAGTTCTACGCCTCTTGTGGATCTCTTCACTGGAAAATCCTCATCGAGTCACATCGCCACTGAAACTCTTCTAGATCCTGCTCATGCTAGTTTCTTTTTTATTTTCTATAGTACAGACAACAAATACTAAGTCCCTGTTTTATATCTATATATTAAGAGGGGAAAAAACAAATGAAATTTTTAATCTAGTGTTAAATGAAATTAGAAATTATTTCTGTAATCTAATTGATAATTCTTTATTGAGGAGAAGAGATAATAGAACAAGAAGCCTAGTATAAAGCTGTGTAGATATTGAGAATTAAAGTTAGTGTCAATACCATGCTTTAATCTTATTAGCATTGGCATGCATTGATGATATTATTGATGGTAGGTGATGAGGAGCATTGGCATGGATGTCGAATGTCATCATATTATGTAACATTGATGCAAACCATCGGGACTCCTGCTGATGCCCATCAAATTTATTACTTGATATCATCAAAAAATGTTGACATGTGTTATCACTTACAAGGACAATATATGTTGTCAACAAAAATGTTGATGCCAATTGACTTTATTCTTCTTTATTGTCAACAATATCAATGCACATCATCACTTAGATGGTCGATGCACATTATCAATAAAAATATTGACATTCCATGATTTTTTTACCTAAACATTGTCATTAGCATCAATACAAGCAATCACTAATCTAGTTTTTTGCATTTTTGTTCACTAAAATTGCAGATCTGCTAACTTCATCACTTATTGTCACCAATAGCATCGATGTAAACTAATGTTATTAATATAAATGTTGATGCCTACCGACTTTGTCAATAGTCATAGACAATAATATTTATGCACATTACTATTTATAAGGTAAATGCACGCTATCAACATAAACATTTATACCTACCAACTTCATTGCTAGTCATCACCAATGTCAACACATGTTGACATCTATAAGGACAAAGTACATCATCAACACAAATTCTAGAGCCCACTAACTTCATCACACTCTATTATCAACAATGTCAATGCATGCCATCATATAGAAGGTAAATGCATGCTATCTACATAAATTTCAATGCATGTCGACATCATCCCTTGCCATTACCAATCATATTAATGCATGATATTACATAAAAGTTGATTCACTTTGTCAACAAAAATATCGATTTCTACCATTCTCCTCGCATGCCATCACTAATAACATTAATGCACATCATCACTAATTTAGTTAATGCACATTGTTGACACTAAATCTGACTTACAATATCAACAATAAGGTTTATATTATTGATATATCATCAAAAATTTATATTGATCGGACACGAAACTCGAGTTAATTTGAGTTGGAAACTTCTGAAAGTAAATTCGGACCATCCAAACTCTAATTTTAGCAAACTTATAATTGAACTGAACTTCTCGAAAAGACAAACCTAAAGCACCAAATTCAACTCAATCTGAGACCAAATGGGTCCAAATCGAGAAGCCGAAGCACATTTAGAAACTTCAAATCATAAATTGGATGACCAAATGATCTTAAAATGTAACATGCTTATAATTGAATCGAGTGGCTCAATGAGATGAATCCAACGAGCCCAAGATCGTTGAATTCTAACATTATTAAGGCACTTAAATACTCGATAAATGGTTCATGATCAAGATAATCTATATCGGCTATCCATTCGAACCACTCCCAACGTGCTCTTGATTTTCTCTCTATTTACTGGCCATGGCACTCCCAGAAAGCTATAAATAGATCCCACATTCTTCAAGGAAGAGAGGGGGGAAACGAGGAAGCAAGGAAGTAAGGAAAGGATGAGAAATAAGAGAATTCTCTTCTCACCAAACTCCTCCTCGACCACCGCTCAGTGGCCACCGACCTTCATTGGACTATCGTCGGACTTCTGCCTGCCCACCAATTATCTTTGGACTTCCGCCAGGCCACCAACTATCGTCAGACTTATGCCCGACCACTTATTATCGTCAGAATCCCACCCGACCATTGATCGTCGCCAGACTACAGTTCTCTTGACCACCGTCACTCGACTATGATATTTTCAACCTCCATTGCCCAATTACAATCCTTTAGACCATCTTCAGATTATGTCTCTTTCGACCAATGTTGACCAACTACAATCTTTATGACCACCATTGCCCGTCGACTAGTCTTTCAGACCTTAGTTGCCCGATTATAGTCCTTCTGACCACCATCTCCGAACTGCAGTCTTTCCTACTTTCATCGCCTACTGACTACAATCTTTTCAACCTCCATCGTTCATTGTGGTCTTTCTGACCATTGTCACCTGACTACATTTTCTACAACCTCAATCACTAGCTAACTACGTCCTCTTTGACCAACATCTCCAAATTGCGGTCTCCCCGATCGCATCGCCCAACTACGGTCCTTCATACCTCAGTCGCATGACTACGATTCTTTTAACCTCTGTTGCTCACCTACTATGGTCCTTACGACCACCTTCATAAGACTACATCGTTCTGACTTTCATCGCTCGCTCACTATGGCCCTTTTGAGCACTATCACCCAACTACGGGCTTTCAGACCACCATCACCTGTCAACTCCAGTTTTTCTGAACTTCGTTGACCGATTATGGTCCTTCTGGCCACCATCTTCAAACTACGGTCTTTTTGACCTCCGTCATTGATTAGTCCTTTTGACCATCATGACCTGACTACAATCTTTGCGACCTTCATCGCCCACCGACTATGCACTCTCCAACCAACATCTCCAGGCTACGGTCTCTCCAACCCCTGTTGCCTCACTATGGTCCTTCAAACCTCTATCACCTGACTACGATCTTTCTAACCACCATCATCCACTGAGTATGATCATTCTGACCACTATCACCCGACTACGGTCTTTTTGACCTTCATTGCCCATGGACTACAGTCCTTTCAATCACCGTAGTCCTATTATGATCTTTTCGACCTCCATTGCCTGAATATGATCCTTACAACCACCATCTCCCAATTATGATCCTTCCAACTTACATCACTTGCTAACTATGGTCATGCCAACTAAACGAACATGTCAACACTGATTCTTCCAACTCCCACCATGTAATGCACTCTATATGGTGTATATTTGTTACATCAAGCCAATGACTCCCCCCCCCCCCCAAGGAAAGGCCTCATTTGTAATCAACTGTAAATACTAGTGGATTTATTCAAACTGGGCAAGGCCCTGTGATTTTTCCCCCATTTCACGAGTTTTCACGTAAAAACTCATGTGTCTCTTATGAATGCTACATCCATACTATTTATCTGTTTGTGTGTTTGATCTTCATATAAAGTTAGGACATTAAACTTTATATTTTTTTCTACTGTCGTGAATATTCCATGACGCAACAATTAGCCTTCTTGATCTCTTATCTCCTCGTCTCAATTGAGAATGATCGATCTTACGATCAGTAAACTCTTAAAAAATCCTTCTAATACCTCAAAGCTTCTCTAACTTCCACTATGGAATCCACCGGACCTCCAAATTTTATATTTATTGCATTATATTAATGTCTTTCCCAATTATGAGGAAGAGTATCATTTGTAACCTATGACATACCCTAGTGGAATCATTTCAGTTAGGCTAAGCCTTATAATTTTACCTCTTTTTGGGTTATCACATTAAAGAATTTTGTCTCATTTGAGTTGCTCTCGACATATTATACATGTATATGTAGGATCTTTATATAACGCCAAGAGGAAATATTCTCTTTTTGTTTACTACTATAATTTTTTTAGTACACATTAGCTTATCGTCATCTTTGGGAAATGATTCTAAGCTAAGGATAACTTTTGCTACAACCTTAAAAAGTTTTTTATATGACTAACACTATAACTTCGAAGGAATGTTTATGTTAACATCCTTGGAGAGATTGTAACTAGGCAAGTCCTTCCATCTATCATTTTTAGGCATATGAGAATATTTTAATAATGACTATTAATTTGTATCAAAGCTTCCTACTTATATGAAAAATTTTAAAATGAAATCTTACATCATTCTGAAATGATATATATACCCAATCTACCTTTTGAAAATTTACCTCAGAACGTAATTGTTAAAACTCTCATCGACGACTCAAAGACAATAAAGGAATAAAGATGTCCTCAGAGAGGCTGAGGCCAGATTTTCGGAGCCCACAATTCATTTAAATTGGGCAAAGCCCATTGTTTTTCCCTCCTAAAGGGGATTTCTACGTAAAAACTCGGATGTGTCTCTTATGAATACTACTCCGTCTTTTATCTGTCAGTG